GTTGGGGCAACGTGGTGGGGCTGAGGGGGCAGCAGGGCCGAGGTCGAGGCAGCCCCCCCTGGCAAGCAAGTGCTGGGCCTCGAGAAATGTCTTGTGCATTGGGCCCGTGGGGTCGCGTTGCCATGCTAAACGTAATTTCTGGGCCTAACTTTTGTGAAACGCTTTGAAACAGAAGCTGCGGTGGAAATGTTTGTTTTTACTTCTCGAGGGAAAGGAGCCAAAATGTGTGAGCAAGAACTATGGGAAGCAAGAGGAGGCAATTCTGATGCTATTTGACTTGGGCTTTTCAAAATCCCCTGAAAATTCATACTCTTTAAAATGGCTGAAGCCAGTTTAGCAGGAAAATATTGCAGTCTCCTAGCCATTGTTAGCTGTCTTATTCTCGTCTTAAATTCATCCTCCAGGGAGATCTAGGTCCTTTCAATCCCGGTTTGCCAGTGGAAGTACCTGTCTGGTTGGCCATTAATCTGAAACAGAGACAAAAATGTCGGCTGATACCTCCTGAATGGATGGACGTTGGTAAGCGCAGCAGCTTAAACTCAGGCCTGCCTCAGCCCTGGGCTTAAGTGGGTCCAATGGAAATACAAAATATAGCTGGTTAGTTTTTGTGCTTTAGTGGGAAGCTTAAATCAACAACTGCAAAGAAACTCTGAAAGAAGGAGCTAATGTTCCACCACTGGAAAATCTTATATTTACCAGAAATGTCATCTTTCAAGCCAAGCTCAGTGTTTAACTTCTGCTTCCCTGGTTAGGAGGAAGAGCAAGAATTAGATTTCATTCCTGGCTCTGCCACTTATCTTCAGCATGCTGCTTCCTTTTCTGTGCCCTTTCTGACCAGTGATACAGTGAGCAACGCTTGCTTTGCTACGAGGCTTGTTCATAAAGAGCTTTGGGGACCTTGTATAACATTCTGTGAAGAGGGTGACTTTGGAGAGCATGTATGTGTTTTAATCGCTTGTTCATTCACTCCACGAAGTCCTTTTCCTTGAAGGCATCAGAAGTCGAACGTCTTCTCACTCTGTAAAAAGTGAGAATCATGGCACTCTTGTTTTTGTCATCTCGGGGGAAAACTGAGGAAGAAAAGAAGTAAATACTAATACAGCTGCAGTAAGAGAAAGAGCTGCATCAAACATCTCTACTCTATTCAGTCAAGGGCACAAAAGTAAATCAGTAGAAATGTTTTGTGGGTAAAGGGACCCTCTCCCAACTGGTGATCAGAGTGGTGATTAAGCTGCTGTAGATTTAGCCTCCTAGCCTGGTGTGCGGAGAGCTGTTTTGTAATGCCTGTCAGCATCCTTGTGTGTTGATGGGCATCTTTTTCCCTAGGGAGTTGAGAGCTGCTGTGGCAATGCTGATGCTAGATACCAGAACAGACATTAGCTGTTGGGGTTGTTTTTCTTCCTTGTAGAAGCCTTTTTCTGTCCCTACATTGAATCCAACTGATGTAAACTTTAATGTGTAGTTGGTCCTCCTGAAATAGGACATAACAGAAGTAGTTGGTCCTACCGAAGTAGCGTGGTTTTTTTGCTGGGGAAAAAGCACGTCTGGAGCATTGAAGATGTGGCAAAACCTGACCGTTCTTGGTTATGCTTCAGAAAAACTGGAGGAAATCCGGGACCAGGAGCGTAAAGAGGACACCTTCACTCCAATGCCCAGTCCCTATTACATGGAACTCACAAAGCTGCTGTTAAACTAGTAAGTAGGAAATGTATTGTAAGGGTTTCCGCCTGAGTAGGTGCTTGCATAGACAATTCTTCAAGCTTTCATTGGCAGCAACCCCAGAGGCCTGTGGGAAAGTGAGAGTTAATGGAGGTTTATTTCACAGCATGCCAAGATCTTGCTGCAGCACTTTTCTCATGGTAACTTTGCATTTTAGTAACTTGGGATTGCTTGTTCTGTGGCCTGATAATTGGGGCTGTGCTGCTTTACTGAGCAGCAGCTAAGCATAGAGGCCTTGGATATCTGCAGCACATTCCATGGCTGCAATCTGTTCAGCAGCCTAAACCCTCCAGGCGTCTTCCTTGGCTCCCCTTCAGGAGGAAAGCTCTTCTTTCCTCAGCCTGAGAAGCAGTAGATCAGAAATATTGTGAGTCTAAACTCATGCCTGCTGAGGCATTTCACTTGTAAAATGTGCTGGCTGGTATTTTTCTAAGCACAGATTCTTCTGACTTTAAGCCCTTGATTACAGTGTGGTGGTCATTTAAGCACTGGCTTTTCCTCTGGAGATGACGCTCTTGGCGTGGAGCTCCTTTCCACACGCTAGAATAACCCTGACAGCTCTGTCCATGTGAATTGATCTGATCTCTTGAGGTCCTTATGGCAGCGCTGAGTTGCCTTAATGGGAGGATGTGGCACAACTTGTACAGTCCTTTCAGCTTAATGCTCTCTGATGGAGCCGTGAGAGCAGAGGTCTGAACTCTGGCTCTGATCACAGTTGAGCCCTTTACGTTCCCTGGCTGTGTGTGACTTTGGCCAGGTTATTGGCCCTCCTTGTACCTTGTACCAGCTGGGCAATTAAAGAGCAGAAGGATTGTAGTGAGAACCAGATGCTGCATCCGAGCTGAGAATTCCTGGGTAAATAAACTATCCCAAAAATCCCAGCAGCAGAAGTACCAGGCTGGATTTTAATGTTGAGTTGCTGGGTTTTTTTATATAGCAAACTGCTCTGCTTATGCCTTAGAGGGTTGAAAAACTGCCAGCATAGCTTATGCCAGTGACATAATGTATGAGTCCCTTGCAGCCTGTTCTGATCTGCTCTCTCCTCCTCCAGTGCCTCAGACAACATCCCAAAAGCCGATGAGATTCGAACGCTAGTTAAGGATACCTGGGACACTCGGATAGCCAAACTGCGGCTGTCTGCGGACAGCTTCGTCAAACAGCAGGAGGCCCATGCCAAGGTACGGTAGGGACTCTTGGAGAGAGGTTTGCTAGCTCTGTCCTGGGAGTGTTCCAGATGCCATGTGATTGTGTGGGCTTGTGACTGATTAGAGCTGCTCGTGAAAATGCCAGTTGGGGCATGTTTTTCCTGGGCTATGGGTTTGTCAGTTGGGAACTGAAGCCATATGCTGAAACCTCTCTCTGCAGCTCCCCCCGCGTTATTAAAATAGTACTCTCGTTGGTCTTGTGCTTCTTGTGGCCAGGGGTGGCCAGGGGGCCAGTCCCTTGGGGTGTCACCAGAGGAAAAGTGTGTGCCTTTGCTGCAAAGCTGCTTTCTAAGTTCCTTGTTCTCCACTGCAGTAGGAGCTGTAGTGCTATTTCCCCAAATTCTGCTATTTTCTTTGCCTTCCTTAGCTGGATAACTTAACCTTGATGGAGATCAACACAATTGGGACTTTCCTTACTCAAGCCTTAGATCACATGTACAAGCTCCGGACCAACCTTCAGCCTGGTGAGAGTGCCCACTCCCAGGATTTCTGAGGTATTTTCCAACCCTGGCCTAAAATCTCCCCAGAGAGGGCTCTGCTGCTCAGCCAGTATTCAGGTGTGCATTAATCCGGCCAGCCTCACCTCCCTGTAGAGATCTCCGGAAATCACTCGAGTCTCGTCTCCTGTCTCTGCTGTATACAACTCCTTGGTGGTACTTGCACCCAGGCACGCGTTTCCCCCTCTGCTTGTGCGCAGGCGGTGGAGGGCGCAGGCAGCCTCCTGGCTGCATGTGGATCACCCCAGAGCTGCCGATGGCACGGGGGCATTCCCTGCGTGGTAGCTCCTGAGCTCTGCTCAGCCACGTACCTCCTGAGCAACGCAGACAATCGTCCCTGGCAGAACTCTCCCTGCTTCGGTGCGGCCGTCGTTCTAAGACAAATTGGCTGTGGCAGCTCAGTGCTGTTGGGAGTCCTTGTTGTTAACACGTTCCTGCTTTCTTGGATGGAGTTTGAGTTCTGCTTCTACCTGGTGTCACAGCAGCATAGATGGTAGTTGTTTCTTGTTTGTCATTCTTTTCCCCTCTGCCCAGTTTGACAGAAGCTGTGGCTGTTGGTTGCGGCAGCTGACCCAGTCGGCTCGCTTCACCTTCAGGCAAAGTGCTCTGTGCTCTCCCTGGCGTAGTGCCGAGCAGGTGTTACTGAGCGCTGCTGTGTGGCACGGCACTCCCCCCAGGCCACTGTTCCTCTCAGTCATGTTGCAGCGCTGTCGGTTTTTTTCCTTCCTTAGAAATGCTGCGTGCATGTATGAAGGGCGCTCTCCCTCTTTGGAGAGGTTTGCCTCTCTCTTTGGTTCAGAGACGGTTTCTGCCAAAGATCTGCTTGGATACAGGTGGTAGCTTGCCAGCACTAGACTGCTCTCTAATGATGTCAGGCAGATACCTCTGCTCTGGAGAGCGTGGGTGTACTTCATAGAGAGAACTTCTGAGGGCAGCACAGGCCACACACTGGCTTAAAAGCAATAAATTTAAAGGCAGTGTTTCACCGTGAATTTTCTCAGAGCCTTGGAACAAGGGAGATGTGCCGGCAATGAGAGGTGTCTGGTGTTCTGCTGGAGAGATGGGCTGGGAAGCAGATCCATCTGCTCCTTGGAGGAGGACAAAAGAAAATGCCTCTCCAAAGCCAGGCTGTTTTATAATATTACACAGCTAAGCTTTTATCTGAAACTGTGTTTATAAATAAATAAATTAAACCTCCAAATTGCAGCTGAATGAACTATATCAAATCAGCCCTTGTGTTTTGTCACATGCTGTGTATCCAAGCGTACGTGGGTTAAACACTGCTTGGAAAAACCCACAGCTCTCCTTTGGCTCTGACCCCGTTCCCTTGAGGCAGACCAACAGACAAGGGCAGGATCCTTGCCTACGTCAAGCTCGGTTGCAGCAGATGTAATTATTACGGGTGAGGGGGAAATGCCAGATGTAACCGCACACGAGTAGCGCCTGCTCGTCGGCCACTGGAAAGCTGCGAGCAGCGCCCTCGCGGCTTCGGGGGCGACCATCCCTGCCGCTCGGCGGCCGAAGCGCAGCTCTCGCCCGCCATCTGTGCCCTGCCTGCCTCGCCTGCGTACAAACAGCAGCGGCCAGGGTGGCAGCAAAGCGCTTTGACACTGTGACAGAGGCATGCGAGCGCTGGGGGGCCTGCGTGACCCCCCCACGCTGAGGGGCGAGGTGCAGCCTGTGCCTTGCGCAAGCTGCTCTGCTGGGGAGCAGGTCTGCTTTTCCATCACTGGTGGGGGGGAGAAAGAATCCTTTGCCATGATTTAGGAAGATTTTATTTTTTTGGATGTTTTCAGAAATTACAGCAATATATTCATAAATACCTAATTACTACATTCAACAAATAATATATTACATTACAATTAATTCAAACAAGTACACTTAGAACAGGTTTCGGTTCTTTTTTTTTATCCTTTTTTTCTTTTTTTTTTTAATTTTTTTGTTTTCTTTCACAGCATCTAAACTGCCCCCAGCAGGCCCTGGCTTTCCTGCCCCTCCTCCTGGCCCTCCCATGCTCTAGCAATCCTGCACAGGTACATACAAATAAACACAATCAGTCAGCACAGCCCGGGGGGGAGAGTACTTCTGAGAAACTGAAAGCACTGGGTCAAAAACTTGATTATGGGCTCCAGGGCTGTTGGGGGAGGTCGGAGCGGTCTCTTGGCCCTTCCTACCGAGCCGCGTGGTGTTGGCCGCTGCGGCGGCGAGGGGACGTTCGCCACCGGTTTTCCATCCCCAGCCTCCCCGCTCCCCCAGCACGCGGGAAGGGAAAAAGCGAGTCAGGCATAAAGTCTGTTTTGCTGTGTTAAAATTCATTGTGAAGTCTTGAGTTGGCAGCTACTAGGCCAGAGGCTGGCTATGCAATTGGGATTTAAAAAAGATTAAACTAATTTCTGTCACAAGGGCATTTTGCTTTTTAATCTTGCACAGCTTTTTTGGCAAAGCCAATGGGAGGCCAGGGGGTTTTAATGCTTTCTTTGCAAGTGCAACAAGGGAATTTAAAGCAGAAAGCAGAGGTCACCTTTTCCTGTAGACGTGAGCTTGTCTCGTGGCAAATTAAAAAAAATAAATAATTTTAAAAAAAAAACCCAAACCTCCCCTGGGAGTTCAAGCACGCACCGATTAGCAAAGTGACTAAAAATGGCCCCGTGCGGCTCCTGCCGGCTGTGTTTTGAGGCAGAGCTGCCTAATTTACTAACAACTGCGCCCGCTTTCCCTGCTGTCAGTCATGTACCAGCGACAAGCCTGAGCCGCAGATGCTAAATTCGATTCTGCCGTCGCAGCACCAGCCCCCGGCTGCTGCCAGCGCAGCAGGGCTTTTGCTGGGCCTAGGGGTTTTTTTGTTTTTTGGGTTTTTTTCCCCCTGGCAGCCTGGCGTTGCCTCTGGGTGGGAGGCCAGGGTGCTGAGCCAGCCAGGTTAGCTGGGC